TTCCCAAATGGGCTATGTATTGCCCTGTAAAATTTTATTTTTTGGGGAAAGGAAATAAAATTTTCAGCCTTCTTTTTTTCTTGCTTGTGTTGGGATGTCATGCTAAATTGCATGTCTCATGCGTTCTTTTTTTAGGTGTGTTCCTAAGGGTTTATAGTGAGTGATTCCTTCTGAACTGTAGTCTGGTGTTAGGTTTTCCCATCTTCCTCACTTGTTAGGTTTCTTTCATGATCTTACTTTCATCTAATCTTTTAACGAGCCTTCTCCACTGAAACCAGTCCTTGGAAGCCCTCCATTCCTGATCTTGGGGTGCTGGATTTGATCAAATCTTGCACCAAATTTTCTAACTCCGATCTGATACTTATCCTTCAACATTATTAACCTAGAACATAAGAATTAAAGGTTGGATTTTGCTATTTATGGGGAGTGAAATACTGGCTGCTTTTGCGAGTAAATGGCAATATTATAAACCTAATGGGTGTGGGTTACTGACTCTGGCCATTTTTGGTGGTACTGCCTCCATTTAGATCCTTGTCGGTTCTTAAGTTGGAAGATATTCTCCCTGGCTAATTCAAATGGATAGAATTGCAGTGTTTGCCTTGGATTTCTCTTTTTAGAAGTTCCAAGGGGGTGTCTCCGTGGCTCTTTGCCTGCTTAAATTTTCTTGATTCTGATATCCATGTAGTCTTGAAGAAATATTGTTTTACATTTTTTAACAAATACACAGTAGCTATCCAACCGGGGAGGACCTGTTTGATGTAACTTACAATCCATCCATAGAAGCATTTTCTATGTGATTTATGGAAGGACTAAGGCAATTGTGCAATATACTTACCAGTTTCTTAATTTCCTATTCCTGACAGCCTGGACAACTTTGTGTGTGAACCATTTAGGCTGTGCCTTCATTTAGACTTTATGGTTGAAATATGGCTATGCTTTTTCATAAATTGTGAAAGTGTCTTTAAATCTATGTGATTCTTTGCAGTGCAAAGACGATGAGGAAATTGTAGCTGTTATTGCCCATGAACTGGGACATTGGAAACTCAATCATACAATGTACTCGTTCATTGCTGTGCAGGTATGCTGTAATTATTTTCTTGCAAATTGATTTGTACTTTGCTCCTATTTGTGCACTAAAATCCTATTGAAATACCATATATACCATCTGAAAGGCATCTCCCAAGAGCTATCATCAGGAAAATGCTTGGAGAAAACTTTGACACGAATGTTCTTTCTCTTTGAGACTGTAAGTCCTTGGGTTGAGATTCAAACCTCTGAGGATTTGTTCATGGGCCTGATGAGAAAATAGTCCCAAAACATCTTGGATTGAAGCACAAGAAAATTTCAATACATGCTAAAAGCCTAGATCATATTTTTGAATCTCAACTTGTGTTTTGGTAGGAGAGTTCAGTGTTTTGTTTAAGAATTTACCAACCATCCTCCTATAGGTGTCCTTTGACTTAATTTGTGAGCTTATAACCGGTGTATGATTCATTGTTTTTTTTTTTTAATGCTCTTATGTTCTGCAGATTCTAACATTTTTACAATTTGGAGGATACACTCTTGTGAGGAACTCAACTGATCTCTTCCGAAGTTTTGGATTTGATACACAGCCAGTGCTCATCGGTCTGATCATATTTCAGGTATTGCTGATATGAAAAGAATTGCTGTGTGAAGGAAAAGAAATGCTTATGGGATTTTTAGTGTGTGTTGTGGGGGGGGGGGTGTTGGGTTTATATGACACAAAAGTTGGTTGTGGTTGGGTTTATCTGACTTGGTTGCTTTTTTGCAGCATACTGTAATACCTCTCCAACACCTTGTAAGCTTTGGTCTTAATCTGGTGAGCCGATCTTTTGAATTTCAGGTAACCTCTCACACCCTCTCTCCTTGTTTCTGTGTGTCTGAAAGTCCTTGATCTCACTTACTGTAATTGTTCGATTAGGCGGATGCTTTTGCTAAAAAGCTTGGTTATGGCTCTGCTCTTCGGGGTGGTCTTGTGAAACTACAGGTGATCTATCGAACTTTTAACTTTTTCCCTCTAACAGACCATCAGTAGTGGAGATAGAGTCCTGTATATTTCTTGCATTCAGATTTTTGTGGGATCTAAGTTCTACATTGGCAAAGTGTTCTTTTCTAATCCATTATCAGGAAATGCACATGACTGAACAGTGTGCCAATTTTTTTCAGGAAGAAAATTTGTCATCTATGAATACGGATCCTTGGTACTCAGCATATCACTACTCTCATCCTCCCCTTGTTGAAAGACTGGCAGCAATTGATGAATCGGATAAGAAGGCTGATTAACAAGGGCAATCTGTAGCCATATCCCGTCCTTCCCTTGTTGAAAGACTGGCAGCAATTGATGAAACAGATAAGAAGGCGGACTAACAAGGGCAATCTGTGGATGGCTACCCCAGAATTAAATTTATTTCATTGCAACTGACAGGATACTGGAACAGTCAAGTCAGCAGTTGTAATATTACCCTAAATGAGTTTTGTTGAAGATTAACACTTATTTTGTTCACGAACAACTTCTCATGTCAGAACTCAATTCCCAGGCCAGAGAAGAGGGGGATAGAAGGAAAGGAACAGGTGAGAATCAACAGGAAACTTTGGAATTTTAGTTATATATTTTGTTTGTATGAAGCTAATGATCACAGGACCTGTTGATCATGTGTTTTGAGTCTGATATGATATGCTTGCTAATTTTGGGGGAGTTTTTTTCTTTTGGAATGAACCTTTGTATCCACCAAAAGAGCTACAAAGGTCGACTTATTTCAGGTAAATTACTATTTCCTCGCATGGCGCAAGATTAGGAGCAGTCCAGTTGGTTTTGAATGGGAATGACTCGTTAACTCAAGTCACGCTCTCATGTTTGATCGTCATGCACATCTCGTCATACGATTGCAGATAGATTTAAAAGCTATCGTCATTTCTGGCTCCTGAAAAGGTTGAGAGTTGCCTGTGCTTAACCACCGGATGGATTGCCATTCCGTCCTTATTTCATTCTTAAGAGCTATGAAAAGAACCCTTTTTCTGTTCTTTATACGCCGCCTCTGTACATGGATTGACAGTCGCTGTGCTGCAGTTCGAATACAAAACTGAATTGGAATTCGATGCAAGTAGAAACTCAATGCTGGGTTTGGTTTCGAGGGCAGGAATCCATAATCCACCCCTCTCGACAAATCCACGGACAGCGCCATCTCCAATCAGATGAGAAGAAGATAAATTATGAGCTAGAAAAGAACAATAAAGAAACATGAGATGTGACGTGATGTGTAACGAAAGATTTCAAGAAAAGCACGACTGCCATCGGGCACGAAACCACCCAAGAAATCTTTTGTCAAATTCCACACGGCCCATTATTGTTATGTTGGTGTCCACTCGATTCTTACAGGACTTTCCACCACTTGGCGTTCTATAATCGACCAAGATGCTTTTCCTGTTGTGCCCCGACACAAATAGATTATAATAAAAAAAAAATCCAAAAGGATTACTTACAGCTTTCAAAATGCACTTGCAGAATGAATTAGACAATTAATATATGCATTTTCCCTTAACTACCACCGAAGTATTATCTAAACCATGATTTCGGTCCACCAAACCCCTGTGATTTACGAAAGTCTCCCATGTGGGCCCGACTAGGGCCCACACCTGGCTTAACATGAATGCATCATGTAGAGATTGATGGGACCATGGGACCTGTTGATGAATATGGCACAACTGCCATGTGGAAATTATACAGAAGTTCAGCCCTTAGTCTTGGCTACACGTATGTAAGAACTAGCAGACGAACATAGAAAAGAGATCCCTCTGTCCTAACATCATTATCGCCTTTAACGGTCACCTTCCCTCTCTTTCTTTCGTTTAATTCTCGGTAGCTACGTACATGTATATCCGTGTTTATGTTAAAATATATTAAAATAATATTTTTTAATTTTTAAAATTAACACGATTTAAAATATATTTAAAAAATAATTTTTAATAAAAAAATTAAATCTAAAAAATAAAATTTACACCGCGTTGCCATAAAACTTGCCAGATTCATCATCACATCTGAGTGAAGTATGATAGCGTAGCTGCAAAAAATATCGCTATAGAATTATAACAACTCAAGTTTTCATATGTAGATTTATAAATGAAAACCTATGAATATTAACAAAAAGGAAAAAATTATTTTAAAAGAAATACAAGTCAAGAGAGGTAAGATATGAAATGAGATTGATTTTCCAAAGAATTAAGATCCATTTGGAAAAAAATGTTTTTCAAAATAATTCTTTCTATAAAATATATTTAAATATTTTTTTTATTTTCACCACCAACACATCAAAAATATTATAAAACACTTAAAAATTATTAATTTAATATTTTTTAAAGTAAAAAATTACATTTAAAAGATATTAAATGAATAAGCAAAACCATGTCTTTGTTATTGGAAAATTATGCTTCCTGTCATGAACATCGGAGGCCGGCATGATATTAAAATTAAGTTTAATTTTTACTACTTCTTATATTTAGGATTTTAATTTTAAAACAGTGAACAAATAATTTGCTTACAAACATATCCTTCTCTACATACTTAACTTTTTTTTTTTTAAAAAGAATTTAGTTTGGAATCCTAAAAGCTATCATGATTGTACAATTAAAATCCGAAAGAAAAATCATATCCATTCTTTTAATAAGATAATGGTCCTGGATGCGGGTGGCCATAGCATGCAAGTGAGTGTTTTAAAGCATAAAGAACAATTTTTTAAAGGGTAAATATTTTATTCACAATCATTAAAGGGTTATGCTTTCTTATTGCCATTGCATCTCACCACTTGGATTTGATAACAAATTTGTTGTTCTTGCTAAAAAGTGAGTGGAGATCGGTCAATGCTGGTTTTACCATATTAACTTCATCCAGATATAGATAGGAAAAAAAAAAAAAACCAACACCACATGCAAATCCGAAGGACAAACACGTCATTTAACCTTAAGCCAGTCCTGTCTCACTTCAACTTAGCTTAGACAGACAAAGTGACAGCTCATCTTCACACACTAACCCTCTCTCTTTCCTTCCTCCCATCCACCCTTTACTATCCACTTGATTCGTCTCTCTCCGCCTATCTTTGATTCCCTCCCTCATCTATCATAATCGCCGGGAACTTCTTCTTCTTCTTCTTCTTTTTTCGGTGAAACCAAATGCAACCGAGCCAAGAAACTCGATTCCATAACCATTCCCGGTAAATCTAACAACAGCCCATTTCTTCTTTTCTTATTTTCTACAACAATAATGCCTGTATACGATGGTGCATTTGTTAACACGGAGCTATCAAAGCCTACATCAATCTTTGGTCTCCGTTTATGGGTAGTCATAGGAATCTTATTGGGCTCATTAATAGTTCTTGCCCTCTTTCTCCTCTCTCTTTGCGTTACTTCACGTCGCAAGAACCGACAATTTAAGCTAACAAAGACAGACACTACCCCTCCAATCTCTAAAGAGATTCAAGAAATCGTGCACTTGCCCGTGCAAGATCACAATCACCATGCGATTCAGGTGCCGGAGATCCAGGTTGGGATCGGGAAAGTGGAGCATAGAGTGGTGTTTTCGAGTGGGGAGAGTAGAGGGACTGCTAGTGGTGGTGAGACGGCGTCGTTTGGGAGTGGAAGTGTGGGGCCTGAAGTGTCGCATCTTGGGTGGGGTAGGTGGTATACTTTGAGAGAGTTGGAGGCTGCTACTGGTGGGTTGTGCGAAGAGAACGTTATTGGTGAAGGTGGGTATGGGATTGTGTATCGTGGGGTTTTGAGTGACGGGACTAAAGTTGCTGTTAAAAATTTGTTGAATAACAGGTAAAGATCTGTTCTTTTAATTGTTTTCTTTGTTGGCTTATTATTATTTTCATGTTTTTTTTAGACAATGAGAAAGAAAATGGAATGAATTGCATGTTTGTCTTTGATTTGTTGCTACTTGCTAGGGGAAGAGAAGTGGTAAAAGTTATGGATCTTATTTGTTATGGATTCAACTTGGGATTTTTTGAGATGTTTAAGGTTTAGAATTGCTATGGAAACTTGAAATTTATTCGCTTATCTTAGTGTATGTTTTAAGTCTCCATGGCAGAAGAAATTTGCTAAGTTTTAATTTCTGTGCTGTGCTTGAGTGGTTATGATTAGTGTCTTCTTTTTTTGGTTCTTGTCTTGCGTGTGGTTGGATATGTGCTGTAAAGTGAAATGCTTTTGTGGGATTCCTTACTTTTCCTTGTCAAATGCCTTTGATCATAATTGAACCTGAATTGATAATTTTGGAATATTAATAGAAGTTGCTACAGCAGGCAGCAATCTTCCATCTACGTCCTGACTGCCATTCTACTAAAATTATGCATGCATAGATTAGTAGCTCATGATACTGAAAATTCTCAGGGGTCAAGCTGAGAGGGAATTCAAAGTAGAAGTGGAAGTAATTGGACGAGTACGGCACAAGAATCTTGTCAGATTGCTTGGATATTGTGTTGAGGGTGCTTACAGGTATGCCTATAATTATCTTCCAATTTAAAATTGAGCTTGTGCCTCATGTTGTCAACAGTCTCAATGTAATTGGTCATGTTTTTGCTATGTAGAATGCTTGTATACGAGTATGTTGACAATGGTAATCTGGACCAATGGCTGCATGGCGATGTTGGAGAAGTCAGCCCACTAACATGGGATATTCGTAGGAACATTATTTTGGGAACAGCAAAAGGGTAAGTATTCTGAATTCCATTGTAAGCAAACTCATCATCCATATGGATGCATGCATTGTTGCTCAAATTATTGGTTCTTATTTTTCACTCGAGTTATTTTGTTTGCTGCTATTGTTGTTGCAGATTGGCCTACCTTCATGATGGTCTTGAACCAAAGGTTGTTCATCGAGATGTAAAATCTAGTAACATATTACTGGATCGCCAATGGAACTCTAAGGTTTCTGATTTTGGGCTTGCCAAGCTCTTACATTCTGAGAGAAGTTATGTCACAACACGTGTGATGGGAACATTTGGGTCAGTTTGTTTCCTTGATTTGAGTTCCAGTTTTATTTCTCTGTTGAAAAAAAAATTCATTTGCAATGCAAACATTATATATGAAAGTTCATTGAGACAATGGTTGGTTGACTTGTAATTCTCCTAAGTAGGAAAACTGAATCTTATTTTGTTGGGTTTTCTAGTTATGTTGCTCCTGAATATGCTTGCACTGGAATGCTGAATGAGAAGAGTGATGTTTATAGTTTTGGTATACTTATCATGGAGATAATTTCTGGGAGAAGCCCTGTTGATTATAGTCGGCCACAAGGAGAGGTTAGCTTTTACATATAATTCTGAAAATTCCTCCTTTCTGTCTTTTATTATCTTTTCCTGTAACTATAACTTTTGGAAGCAACCAAATAATTGCAGGTGAATCTGGTAGAATGGTTAAAAACTATGGTTGGGAACCGAAAATCTGAAGAAGTGGTTGATCCCAAGTTACCCGAGATGCCTGCTTCAAAAGCATTGAAACGTGCTCTCCTGGTAGCTCTTAAATGTGTTGATCCTGATGCTACAAAGAGGCCCAAAATGGGACACGTGATCCACATGCTTGAGGCTGATGACTTGCTATTTCGTGATGTATGTATGCATCATTTCTTTCAAACAAAGAATTATAATCTGTGGTGTCTGAAGAAAGAATCTCTCTCTCTTTTAATGCTTCAGTTTCCTGCTCATTGATCCATTCTTGCGCAAATTTTGCAGGAACGTCGAGTTGGGAGAGAACCTTCCCATTCACAGCATGGTTTTGAACAAGAGAATCATGCTGCTATGAAATTCATTGATAAGCAATCGGGAGAAGGGACTTCAGACACAAGTGAAGGTGAAAGTGGTAGGAAACATCATCAGCCAACTAGATGGAGATAACATCATTGGAGGATTAGGTGACTAACAATTTTACATCTCTCCAAGTTATTGAATCTTATATTTATTTTTTTCCCTGTAGGAATTCTATTGTGTTTGTTGTATCTTCTATATAAGAAAACGATAATCTGCATTTGTTTTAAGCTTTAGTTTTCATACCATTTCGGATATCTTACTCCGCTGGGGATGCAGTTGTGTAATTGATTCATTATTCTTATAGAAAAATGATATATTTTGTTGTTTCAATTATAAAACAAAGTTACATGTTTGTATGCTCCATGGTCATCCAAAATTAGTTTTGAACTTTCTCATTGTATCTATTATACTTCAAAACTAGCCAATCACCCAGCTCTCAGGCGGGTGGTCCATTTTGTTGCTTTCCAGGTTGTTCAGCTGATAATTATTTACTGGTATATTCAGAACTAGCAGAACCAAAATTAAATATATGAGGTGAACTCCCTGTGTGATCATTTTGCAGCACGTGAAATGAACTCGTTATGATCGTAAACGTGAAAGAATTGTCAAAGAAGTAGATTATGCAAATAGGAATATTACTTACCTTCCACTTATGCAGCTAGAATTTCCTCATTAGCCTTACAGCATCATTAAATCCATTATTCATTGTTCTAGTATCACCAACAGGAGGATTGCAAGGGGCAGTCTAACCATCTCAAGGCACAGCAATACAACACCTTGAAACTTTAATATAACTGTAATATAATTTTTAATCTGATCATTAAATCAGATTAAAATCAGATTGATTGAAACTTTACAAGCATGTTCTACTCGCTGTAACTACTGAGTTTGTTTGAATGCGGATTCACTCAACAAAAGGATATTGAAATTCGACAACAATCAATGAACATGTTTCCTCATTAGTGTTCCCAGATAGAAAATATGTAAGCAAAGCGACCCACGGCTCCTATCCTCTTTGGAATTCTGCGGCAATCAATGGAAGGATGCTTCCTGGTTAAAATATACCGATTGGATCCATCACGCTCGTTAAGCACTACAAGACACATCCATGTCAGCAGTCCAGTTGTCACCCCATAATTTCAATTGACCTGTAAATTGATTTAAATCGGAATGCTATTGCTTTCCTATGTACATAGATATAGATTAGTTATGAGGATTTCATGGATGTAGTTTCATAGTTCTTCTTTCATTGTACATTATTTCTTAAAGTTGTTTTTAAAGTATTTTTTTGTTTAAAATTGTATAAAAATAATTTATTTATTTGTCTCTTATTTTTAATATGAAGATATAAAATGATTAAAAACATATAAAAAACTAATTTAAAAAGTTTAATATTTTTTTTAAACACGATTAAACCAAAAAAAAAAAAATATCGGTTAGCATGGTTCCATCGTGACTCGTCACCATCATTGCCAGCAGAAAAAACCAGATGTTTGTGGGAAATGGACCCGGTAACCAGCTATTTCTTCTGTAGCAAACGTACTTGCAACTCTTTTACTCATGTGCTTTCCTTGTTTTGGGCTGGACCAGCTAGCTAGGAAGCAGCCAACATCTAGTCTGGAAATGGGGTCATGCCGTGTGATTTATTTAGCCGTCGTTGCCAGAGTACATGCTTTTGCATTGAAGCCTAACAACGAAGCTTGGCATAAAACCTGTTAAAGTAAATAGTTTTGGATGTATTTGATGAGTTCATTTGTCACTTTGTTTCACTTTGCTTTCGGGTTCGTGACTTGGTCTTTATGAAACATTCTAACGAAGCAATCTGTACTGGCGCAAGGTCATACTTGAAGGCATTTATTCGTCCTGTGATAATCTAACGCAGGACCAGTCTGGAGACAAAAAAAATAAAAAATTAAATATGCCAAGCTTGGGGATTCCACACTGTTTTTGGGCATGTTTTTAGCTTGGCGGAGGAGCTATTGGTCTCCATGTCAATTCGGAATCCTTCACGTGGCATCATTTGTCTCTCTCATGCCAGTACTAGAAATGGTTTCATATCACTTGTAGGAGGCGACCTGATACAATTAACATTTGTTTGTATCTTGTGGGGCTGAGAAGCCTGCGTTCATGTGATCACTTTACTGGCGGACGAGCAGAGTTTGTAGGACTGCTTTTGCCCATAAAATATTCCATGAATCCAGAATTTGGATTTATGATCAGTAGACCTTTTTAGAGGTGCGAAATCTTTTTCTGGCCTTTTGTGTGCAAGATGGGCAGTGTATGGTGTGAAGATACACGATACCTTGCTCAATTCTCACTCTTCCAGCCCATTGACCATAGTATATATTCTTGTTCCGAGGCTTTTGAAGGGGCAAGTCTAGAATAGAATGCCTGTGTACTGTCAGGTATGTTGTTAGGCATTGCGAGGGGTTCAAGGCTGATTAATCCTGAGCATTGTTATTCAAATCCAAAGGTGGAGAGGACTCCTGGCACCAACTTATGTTGCTCCTTAAACCCTAGCTTCGATTACTTGAAAACATATCATGTGGCAGCACCGCTGCGCTATCAATATCTGTATCAAAAAAAGTGCATGCTCACTTTTTTTTTTATTTAAAAGAGGAAGAACTGAGTTAAATACATCTGCCGTGTATATACGAGCATGCACTGTTTTTTTTATTAAAAAGAGGAAGAACTGAGTTAAATACATCCGCCGTGTATATACGAGCATGCACTTTTTTTTTAATTAAAAAGAGGAAGAACTGAGTTAAATACATCCGCCGTGTATATACGAGCTTAAAGGATGTGCCATTTCCCACAGGGCCATCACCAGTTTCCATCTTGAAGGACGAAACATCTTCATAGCATATCAGGCGGTTCAATGGAGTTTATTCGACTCGTGTGGACTAGACTCATGTTTTGAGCTCAATTATCAGCGCCGTTGGGTATTCATTATCCATCCCAGCAGCATGTAATCATATCAGAATTCATTGCAGTAACCAGTCAGGATGTTCTGATATTTGTACGAACCCCGTGCTTGTATCGATTCTCTTGAGAATCCAAGTGAATGAGCCTGGTACGTAAGTGTAGAGAGGAGCATAGCAGCACCCGTAATTACTGGCTGGCTCCTGTGTGGTTCGAGCTCTTTGGCGGGCCGAGTCCATTTGGGAGCCCTTTCAGCATTAGCCATCTGTACCTGGGCCGAGCCTTTTCCTATGGCGACTACCTCAAGGAAATCTTCTTGGATCCATTCCCGCACAGGGAAAGAAAGTATCCAAATATATAATATTGTGGTCGGCAAACGAGGTCCAGATAGCGACAACAACTAGGGCATTTGCTTGTAGTTAGAAGCAAGGATCTTGTCCGTTGGATCACATGTTACATCCATTAAATATAAAGTAAAATCAAGCTTGAATTTACTTCCCTGTCTCTGACCCACCATTGATGCTCCAAAAAATGCAAGTAATCTCTCAAATGAATATCCATCCGTTACCACAGCCCTCCACTCACATCCTTCCACGTACACATCCGTCACCAATTCCCTTATAACCGCCCGTGAATTCACCTTTGCCCACAACTTCAGCTACAAAACAGAGACCTCACCTAACCTCTGTGGAATAACCGGAAACTTTCAACAAAGCTCTGCGTCTGGATACCTTTCTCTAGAAATTTCCCGTCGCTTGCAAGTGCTCCTTTAGGTACTATCTCTCTTACAACTATCGCTAAAAAAAGCTCGCTCTCTTTGTTTTTAGTATTTCTAGATCTTAGATTAGAGTATTGTTTTTTCTAGTAAAAATGATTAGGGTTAGGGTTTCAATATTCTCTTAGTGATTGTTATGTTTCGTCTTGACTTGATTGCTATTCTGATCTAAGGATCTGGTATTTAGGTGAGTTATTAAGTTTGAACTGTTTTGTGTATGAATTATATGCTTTCTTTGGTTGTGTTTTAATTTTAAGAACAGAAGGCATGAATTGAAATGAGAGATTCATAGATCGAAACTTTAGATTCGATTTGGTAGGAAAAGAGTTGGGACTTTTTTTTTTATAATTTAACTGAATTTTATTTTGATTGATTCGAACTTGAAATTCTTGTGTGAATGAGATAAAGAGAAAATACGCTTTGATTTTTATTCTGATTTTTTTATAGATCTTTGTCTAGCTTTTGTTTTGAGTTCCCTTTTCAGGTCTATACGTTGTGTAGGCTTTTTATTTGGTTGATGGGGTTGGAATTTGTTTTTCTGAGTATTTGGCAAGAGTTTTTCTCGACTTTCTCTCAGGAAGGCATGGAGGCTTAAAGAAATACCTTTGTTGGAGATATGGTTCTTTCTCCTGTTTTCTTGATGAATTGTTTCGTTGGGATGATAAGTTTTGCAATTTATCTTGCTTAAGTTTGGGTGGGCCCTAATCACTATCTATTGATTGTAGATCTTTTGTTTGGTGTGGTTTTTTTGTTGATTTTGTGTGTTATTTTGATGTTGTGTGCAACAAGATTAATGATTTTGTTTTTCCAAACTTGTTGCAGTAAATTGTTGTGATGAGTCAACCACAAGAGCCACACCGCCCTTTCTTTCCATTTGGAAATCCTTTCAGGATGTTATCTCCAAAGAGTTCTCAGTTGTCTCCAAGGCTTCTTTCTTTATTAAATACATTTGAGGAGGCATTGGCAGCGAGGCTGCAGAAACTTAATCCTAAAGACAAGGGTGATGTTCTTAGCTTGACATGGATGAAATTGGCAATGGAGTCACTCTGTGAGACTCATACTGTCATAAAAACACTTATCACAGAACTTGAGCTCCCTGTGACTGAATGGGATGAGAAGTGGATAGATGTGTACTTGGACATCACTGTGAAGTTGCTTGATATTTGTATTGCTTTTAGCTCTGAGCTCTCGCGGCTGAACCAAGGTCATCTTTTTCTTCAATGCGCCATGCATAAATTGGAGTCCAACACTTCAGATAAGTTAGTGCGGGCATGTTCTTCCCTGGATAGCTGGAGACAGCACATTGGCTCCAAGAACCCAAGACTGGAAAACTGTAAATCCATCTTAGAGGGTCTTGTGGATTCCTTGACTCTGCCTAAGGTTAAGAACTCGGCCAAAGGAAAGGTGTTGATGCGTGCCATGTATGGAGTTAAGGTACAGACAGTATTTGTATGTAGTGTTTTTGCTGCTGCATTTTCAGTTAATTCAAAGAATCTGATAGATTTGGATGTCCCCAACACAATATTGTGGGCACAAGCTTATTCTGATTTGCAAAGTACAGTAAATGGAGAAATTAGAGATGTATTTTCACGTGGGAAATTTACTTTCTTGAAAGAATTAGATGAAGTTGAGACAGTTGTGAAGAATTTATATCCCATTATTCAAGATGGTATGGGACCTACTGAAGTGGAAACATTCAGCAGTTCTTTTTCAGATTTGAGGAGAAGAGCAGAAAAACTTTCTCAGGTGCTAGATTTTCTTGCTAGGGAAGTAGATGGCTTTTTCAAAATACTTTTAAGTGGGCGTGATGCTTTGCTTTGTAACCTGAGAGTGTCTGATACCGTTGCTGACCCATTCCGAGGGAATAATGGGGAACAGGTTATAGGATAGATGTTTATGTTGAAGCTGCATGCTCTCATGTCTGATACCGCTTGTTCCATCAGTAGTGTATTGTCTTGTATGGGCCTGTCCTGTCTTGTGTGGTGTGAGGCATCTTGTAATACTTTCTTACTAGTTTGTACATGTCCGAAATATTGTCAACAATACATGAAATGTCTTGTACTGTTTCACTACTTGTTATGTTTTTACCTTAATTCCCCTTCTTCCCTTTTCTCGTTATGACTAGGAGCAGGGAGACATAGATAGCATGCCCGCATTCTTTGATGATATACGGGTAGTTTTTTTATCTGATTTTTTTAATGCAAAATGCTCGTATTCATCAAGGCATATTTTTTTGAGTCGTTTGACATAGGATACTGGTGCTGGCTTCGTGGGAGGATGCAAGGTGTGGGGTTTCTTATGGCTTTCCATAAATGCATCCTTGTTCTTCAGGGCTTTTTCCTGCGTTGTGCATGAAAGTTGAAGAAGTCTGAGGTTACTATATGGTAACCACGATGACTGTTTGTGAAATTCAGTTGGGTGTCTGTTATTTCTATCCAAGTTACGATTATATGACTCATTTTAGGAAATGCTTCTTGTTCCCTAACTATAGATGTTCTGACTCTGTTTTGTTCAGGGATGAAGTTAGTCCAAGTTGATGTTTTCACATGGTAAGCATCAAAGGCATCATTTGTATGTGTGACTTTAACTTCCTGAATGTGTTTGGGTGTGGACTTGACCTAGAGTTGGTATACAAGATCCAAGTAAAATGACTTGCTGTGTTAGCTTTTGCATCATTTCCGAGGGGTGCGAATTCGTGAATTTGAAACGTTCGGAAAGAATCAGGTCTATAGATCCTTTAAGTTTCCTGTAATTGGGATGGGATGCATCAGAATATTGTCATTTTACACTTATGATCATTGCACAACATCCTCAATATTTGAGAACACCATTGAGAAGTACTTTTTCTTACATGCCTTCAGCAGTTGAATGAATCAGCACTCGGACTGGAATCAGATGACTCGGGGGGTTTCTGCAGGAAGCAACTGCAGTTGAATGAATCAGCACTGGAACTGGAATCAGCGATACGTTGATGGGTATTCATCTTCTTCCTTTTCGTAGAACCCCTGAAGCCATTTGATGCTTAGAAGTTAGAGCACACTAGATAAAAGGCTTAGCTCCGTGCTGTGCCAACCTAAATATTTTTTCAACCTTCAAAAAAATAAAAAAAACTAACGCAAAGCCAAAAAAAAATCATCAACTGAATTTTAAAGGTTTGGTTGATTTAAAAAATATAAATAAAAAATATACAATGATAATAAATAACTAATAAAAATATAATAACATAATTGTTTATTTAAAAATTGCTCTTAGCCTTTGGGTTATCATGCAAAATTTTTGACCTTCAAAAAAAAAAAGAATAAAATTATAAAGTTTATTTATTAAAAAAATTTAATATTAAAAGATAAAATTAAAAAAAATAATGAAAAAATTAAGTTAACTTAAATTAATTTATTAATCTCATGACCATGAACACAAGATTTGAATAATGGAAAAAAGAAGAAGATGAAGACCAATGTTGAAAGATATAATTGATAAAAGCTAAAGAAAATTTGTGTCAATTTTTAAAATCCATGACTCTAATTATCAGCTTGAAACTAACCCCATAGAAATTAAATTCTAAAATATAATAAAACAAAATTCTAAATCAACAAAATATTAAGAGATTGAAAAAACCAAAATGCAAAAAAAAAGTATCTAAAACCAAAGAAATTGCTATAAAAAGATTTTGAACTAAATTTGATATAAAAAAATTAAAATTAAATGTTGAGGGATGAAACAAAATTTAAATAAAAATAATAAAATAAAAACATTAATTAAAAAAATAAAGACTAAATTTGATATGAAAATCAAATAAAATGATGTGATAGAGGATAAAATAAAAAAATAAAAAAATAATAAATAATAATGAAAAAAATAAAAATTAAATTAAATAAAAATATAATATAATCAAACTTGAGTTAAACATATTACCTTTACAACAGTGTGCGGAGCATATAAAAAACATGCCTTGACAGCTTCTTGCATGTATTTATGCAGCTTTTGCGAGTATATAAGAAACATACCTCACAATTTTCTCAAACTTCTACACTAAGGTTTGAACACTTCATTAAATCAACGTACATAGAGAAATGAACTGAACTGGGATAAGAAATCACTCCATCTCATTTGATGAGAAGAGTGCTGAGTAAATAACTAGAAACGTTGTGGCGAAGGCCTCCAAACGAAGAACTACCCACCGATTTTATTATTTTTTTTGAATGCATTGCATAAAAGATCCAGTGAGACAACAAAATAAAGCACACTTTTGTTTCGGATTCAAAGACTATTATCCAAATCAAAACTCTTGGTAAAATGTCTCCTTTTTTTATCTTAATTTTTTTTTTTTAGCAGGAAGTAGGACTTTCGTGGGGACTCGGACTATCACAATTAATTCTCCATTCTCCGGGCTGGCCGTGTCAGAACACATTAGTCCTCGATCAAACGTGGGTCTCTGAGAAACTCAACCCTGCAAACCTTCCTTGGTATTTCAAATCAGTTGGCAGGCCCGAGCACGATGATACACTAGGGATTCATATGGCTGGTAATCCCATGATAGTAGTTTTCTTTTTGAGAATGTAATCCTATGATGGTAGGGATTGAACTATGGAAAGCTCCCCGTTCCCGAGTTTCCTTTTGCTGAATCCTCAGTAACCACAAGAAACCTTAGAATTCTTAACAAGAACACTCATCCCACTTACACCCCTCGGTGGCAGTCAAATATCTACTGCAGACTTCTGGCTCGACTGAAATTGGTCAATGACATAGCCAACTCACCAGCATGATAAAGTAAAATCCACCGAGGAATGCTTGGTGAAGGTCATGCCTGTTTTGAGCTCCAAATAATTGCTAGTCTTGAATTCGGAAACTCCACAATTAAGTATCTACCTCACGTCAACCGAAGGAAGCAGCTGCTTAAGCCCGTATTAAGTAGGGTAATGTATCATCCTGATGCTGTATTCTACTTTCACTGAAGATTATTTCCCCTACTAAAAGCTAGCTGAAAATTACAGTGAGGCTGCTTGCTTGTGATGTGAAAAAAAAAAAAAAGTTCGAAGATTTGGTTCGGCTTCGCCTCGGTTGGGCTTGTTTCAGTTAGACCACTCCCTTCTGGGCTTTTGAAGTTGTTTGGGCTGTATTGCTTCTTTTTTTTTTTGGTGTTTCCGATTAATTTTCTTCTTCGTTTTTTTTTTTTACAAGTAATTTAATTAAAGGAAAATCTTGACTAAAAAATGGTTATTTGTTTAGAGTAAAACCTTTAGCTTTGAGCAAAGTAAGAAGAATTTCGGAGCTAAAACCAATTTAAAATTGGAACACAACGAAGGCCAAAATGATATACAATCAACATGGTATTATTTCATTAAAGGAATCCATTAATTTTTCGAATGCTAGAGTATCCTGAGCAAATTTTCCCTGGATTCCATAAAAATACCACAATCAGGAATTCAGTAATGCCATGGCCAAATAAAATATACGGTGACAGTTTTGGAACAAAAATCACGTTTGGGGAGACAAAATCCGGAGATGGTAATGTCAATGAAGGTTCGTGTTTGAGTAGACCTTTCCAGGGGGGATGGAGAAAATGGTGGATTTTCCGGTCGGTGGAAAATAAGGAAGGCAGGCCTTGACTTTGAGCCTTGAGTTGTTATCTTCTCTTGGATGAGGAAGTCTTTCTGCTTCCTTTTGATTTTTCAGCAGGTTGAAGGTTGTTTTGAAACACGGGAACCTTCTCCTTCGTGGTAATTTGAAAGAGTGGTTCAGAAGTTATATTTTAAAGTTGTTTTTTTAATTTAAAATACATTAAAATAATTTTTTTATTTTTATTTTTAAAATGGACGGATAAAATAATTTTAATTAAATATGTTTTTTTTTATCGGAGTATTAAACACGCCAAGCAGACAGGTGTTGAACGAAACATGACCGTGACTCGAAAGGCAAGGCAAAGATACTTGAAATTATCAGTGTAATCTTTTCTTGCAGTTAGGTTAGTTTGAACCAAAAATGGAGGGAGTAGAGAACCATACTTCCTGACGATGATGACGATCATCATCATCATCTGCCGAGTTGTTCATGTTCCTTGAAGAAAGGAATGTTTGATGGGTCCGTTTCCTGCATCTTTCTCTTCCAGTTCACACCCAAATTGAAAAGAATGGGATTAAAGACATGATTCTGAAGTTCGGGGAGGCCTAAACACCAGTGATTTTGAGCTTCATCCAATCGAAATCAAAAGCCATCCACCCATAATTTCTTTTCTTTATTTTTCAATCAATCGCACTACTGATCATAAAAATAAGAGAGACCTAGAAAAGTCAGAATTCAAAGTTCGATAAATTAGAGTTAAATCACAATCACCAACAAAAACAGTGTATATTTTCTTTCCTGTTCTCTCGAGGAAAAACTGCCTGAGATAAATTAAATAAAAGTCAGCAAGCACATTGTCGAGTCACGAGGCAGGCTAAGCTTTACCAGTTCAAAAGTCGGGCACCACACGGTCCAGTCCACCTCTACCTTTTATCTTCTCTCCCCATCTTTCTCACTCGTCCCTGAAAAGTGTAGACTCTAATAGTAAAACAACCCACACGCCAACCAGAAGAAATGTGAAAACGAGAACGCTCTACGCCAACTAACACGTCCGCCCTCTTTTTTTAGCCCCTCTTCCTCCTCTTCAACAACCGCTACTGGGCTGCTTACTTAGCCCTCTCCTTTCTATCTCCTTTTCGCTCTAGCTTAATTGGATCCTTTCAGGTTGCTACTGAAAAAAATGACAAGCTTAGAGTCAAGCTCAGGTGGTGATCCTAACATCAAAGGCATGCCTGCTCATGGTGGACGCTATGTACAGTATAATGTGTACGGTAACCTCTTTGAAGTTTCTAGAAAGTATGTCCCTCCTATTCGTCCTATTGGCCGTGGCGCTAATGGTATTGTTTGGTAAGTCTGATTTCTTACTCTCTCTTTTTCCCTTGTATGATCATGTTTAAGTTTCAACTGTAGATTTTGGTTACTTATAGTTTCCGATTTCGATTCTTTGAGGTTAAAAACTGTGTACTTCTTAAAATATCCTTTCGAGTTATGATTTTTTATTAGAATTTTTAGTTGTCCTTTTGGAATTGGAGAAATGATGGTGGAAGTCTCAAGAACACAACATTGAGAGGCCGTTTTACTTATATTTTATTTTTTTAAATTTTATTTTTTTATTATTTTATGACTATGATAAAAATAATTTTAAAAAATAAAAAATATTATTTTAATATATTTTTAAACAAAACAATAACTAGCACACCGTAGTCCCATAAATCCTCTTAAAACTTAGGGCTCTAGGCTACTTGGTAAACCGTGAAGCTAGTGCTACAAAAAGTTGTTAATTGAGTTTCGAGCGTGTTTGGAATACTTTACAGAAAGGAAAATTTACGGAATCTGTTTTATTGGTTAGGAAAACTTCTGTTACTGGTGAATCGCGAATGTTATGGTCTCGTTATGTTTGACTTAATTTTTTGTGTGAAATCTACAACGTGAAGGAAGATGTGATTTTGTTGTTTTCTTCAGTGCTGCTGTGAATTCTGAGACACGTGAAGAGGTTGCCATTAAGAAGATTGGTAATGCGTTTGACAACAGAATAGATGCCAAGAGGACTTTACGAGAGATTAAGCTTCTTCGCCACATGGATCATGAAAATGTAAGTTTGTTTTCCTTTGTTATTATCAGGATTCTTAGCTCCACTGAAGTTAATATTTCATGATTTTGTAGCTCAGCTGAAGTTGTTGCTCATGATTTCGTAGCTAACTCTGTTATGATGCTAACAATCCTCATTAACTCAAAGATATACACAAGTCTGTTGATATATGTGATATGCACAATGGGTTTTGTCTTCCCACAGAACTTATATTGCATTACATCCTTTCTACTTGTGTATTCCGCTTGTCTTGTAACAGGGGAGAGTGTAGAGAAATCTCTTGGTGAAGAGAATTATTTAATTGCTAAGTAAACACTAGTGAATTAATAAAGTCTGGCAGGGGGCTGAACTGCCGCATAGGACTGGAAAATTTTAACAAGAAAAACCCTACCCTGTGACATGCTACTAAGAACCTGAGTTCTTTTGCAATTGAGATTCTCTTATAGGGGGTGGGATTTTTGTTAAATTGTTCCGTGTTTAATTTATTCTTGAGTGGGTGATTCCTTGATGAATCAAACTTTAAGTTTTGCTTTCACAAAGCATGATGATCTTGGTGATTCAGAGGCCAGTTGCTGGATCGACTAGAGTTACCATGGATTCATTTGATTCACAACTTTCTTTTGTATTGACGTTGTCCTTTAGACATGTGCTATGGTAGCTCAAGGTTGACTAGATTATCATGACTGCTAAGTTCCTTAAAGTATTTGGTTGACTTCTTTTTATCCTCATTTGAGGCTAGTTTGTCAACACTCCATAATTACGTGCATGGAAGCATACACAGCATGGGTGCTTGCTGACGTTGTATCGCTGAACCTGTCTAATTTATTGCTTCTATGCTGTGTTTTTCTTTCTTTATATATATATCTATGGTCGTGCTAATCATTTACTGCTCCTCAGGTTATTGCTATCAAAGACATCATCCGGCCTCCCCAGATGGAGAACTTCAATGATGTATACATTGTTTATGAATTAATGGACACGGATCTACATCAAATAATACGCTCCAACCAACTATTGACAGATGATCATTGTCGGGTTAGTTCCATTAAGTTTTCTTGGTTTTCATGTTTACTATATGTAATTTATACTCATAGCTTGCGGATTTATTTTGGATATTATTGTTCTTGTGGTTACTTATTTGATTTTTATTTATTTTTATCTTTCTCTAGGATATTGTTAACTTTTGGCTGGACTTTTTAGCTTGCTGCATATTTCAAGCTTGAATTTTAAGCTTTACAGGTTAAATTTTGACAAAATGGTTCAACTAGTTATGATAAGCAGCATAAGCTATACTTTCTCTGTTTTTGTTTGTGCGGCTAAACCATGCTTTTAATTTTTAATTTTATTTTTTTGGCTTTAAATTATAATTTTTTTATGGGTTTTTTAGATTGTTTAGATTTGTTAATGTTAAATTATTTTTTTTTTATATATATTTCCAAATAAAAAACACTTTAAAATTAGTTATAAATAAATGCCATATTTTCAACTAAATCAATATCATAAAATGATGACTTTCATTTTTTGTTTGCCTTTGTTGAGCTAATAGGTTTATTAGTTGGCTAATTTTTTTGGAATTTAGCGGGATAATGTCTCTAATAAATCACAAATATCATTTGGCTTCACTATTCTTCTATCTCTCTCTTGTTTCCCTAATTCCTACAGGCCAACCCATCACATCTGTCACCCCTTTCTATCTCCTCTCTCCTTTTATTCCCAGGGAAGAAAACTAAAGTTACCAAAGAGAGGCAAGAAATGGCTACATGCTGCTGCACAGAGACTGCTACTGAATAAAATGCTTTCTATAACATAAGCTGTAATTGGAAATTATCATTGTTTTATGAGCAAGCATTGCTAAATTAACTAATACTTTGTTATGTGCTTGATTTTCATTGATATCTAAATTGTTTCTTTGCAGTACTTTCTTTATCAATTGCTAAGAGGGCTTAAATATGTACATTCGGCAAATGTCTTGCATCGTGATCTCAAACCCGGTAATTTGTTCTTGAATGCTAATTGTGACCTTAAGATTGGAGACTTTGGACTTGCAAGGACAACATCTGAAACGGATTTCATGACCGAGTATGTGGTCACTCGATGGTACCGGGCACCAGAATTACTCCTTAACTGCTCTGAGTATACTGCAGCAATTGATATATGGTCAGTGGGTTGCATACTTGGCGAAATCATGAGTCGGCAACCTTTATTTCCTGGAAAAGACTATGTTCATCAACTGAGGCTTATTACAGAGGTATGTGATTTTGAAATTGTCCAGCAATTGTGCCCTGGGGTAATCTTGTGGTGTTTTTTGTGTATCTGGCTCGTCATTTGTCGACGGGAGGCCCTAAATAATTTCATTTCAAAAGCCCTAACTCTTTTCATTAACTCATGCGTGATTGTAACTTTTTAAAGTCATGTGCATTGACAATTATGATTGCCCTTTGGCTTTTTTTCCTAAATTGATGAGTCAGAGACTCATCTCTCGCTTCCCTCCCTCCTTTTTATTCAAATGGCAGGAATTGCATTAATTGTGATTCTTAATCTGGTAACTGAATGTAACGACCAGGGATGAATGTAGGATGTGACCTTTCGGGGCAAGTTTGTAAAACAATTTTTATTGAGGGGGCCATTTAGTTTTTTTCTTTGGCAAAATTAGGGAGAATTATGAAAATTTTCTGGCAGTGATGATATCTTACTGAGAATAGTGAGACAGAGAAGTGATTGGGAATCAGAATTATCCTCCCTTCTCCTTTTCATGGTCAATTATGGTGAAAGTGTTGTATCTTGTGCTTCAATCAGTGTAACTTCTGTTCTGTTTTGTCAGTTATGTTTTGGTTTGTTCTTTTGTCTGATGTGTGGGGTGCACCTCTATAGCTTTTGTTAGCATGCATAGAGGTTGAAGTATATAGCAGGCTTGTTGATAGTATGAAACTGCTCAGTTTTTTGTTATCAAACTACGAGCATGATACCTTGTGCATTTATCTTTGAAAAGCTCATAGGTTCACCTGATGACTTCAGTCTTGGTTTCCTACGAAGCGAGAATGCTCGAAGATATGTTAGGCAGCTTCCGCAATACCCCAGGCAAAATTTTGCTGCTAGATTTCCTAACATGGCTGCTGGTGCTGTCGAATTGTTGGAGAAAATGCTGGGCTTTGATCCAAATAGGCGTATTACAGGTAAAAATGAGGCATGATAGTGATAAGGATTAGTTTGTGACATTGCGGCAACAATTTTTTAAAATCAAAGACTATAAACGTAAGGTAAAGTTGAACATTCAGGGACAGACATGACATTGATCATGCGACAAAACAAGAATTAATTACGGAAATAGCTTCATATGTTGTTGTTTTTTTTATCTTTATGAGACATTACCTGCAATCTTGGCTACACATTTGATCTGGAACCAAGTGCATTCATTGAATAATATTTGAGATAATTGGTATTACTTAATGAAGCGAAATTACATGTATTAGTAAACTAGTAGATTAAAATATGGTATGTCTCAACATTCTGAAAGTATATCAGAATGTTCAAATTTGAGTATATTTTCTCATCAAAGAAGCTTTTATTTGACCAATGATTACATTTGACCCTTTTGCTGTTTGCAGTCGATGAGGCACTGTGCCATCCATACTTGGAACCTCTTCATGGCATCAATGAGGAGCCTGTTTGCCCAAAGCCTTTCAGCTTTGATTTTGAGCAGCCATCTTTTACTGAAGAAAACATCAAGGAACTCGTCTGGAGGGAATCTGTAAACTTCAATCCAGATTCGTGAGAATTATCTGATCAACTTGTGGTGTGCAGTTGGGAAGGCATCCCATGATTATGATGTACAATATTATTACATAAAATCCATCAGGTTCTCTGAGAGAAGAAGAGATAAGAAACATATTGTTTATATTGGATTTGCTTACAATTTTCTGTAGAGCTCTATGAACTGATATCTCAGATTTGTTACGACATCAGAAAGTGTAAGACAGGACAAGCAGCATGATTCTCAAGTTTTCCGAGCAGAATCCTTGTGAAGGTTCCATCTTTAGTTTGTGTAGGTGCCATGTGAGGAGTGCTCTAGTAAAAGTCTATCAGTCGTGGAGTCTGAATCCTGCATGGTTGTGAGGACGCTCAATGGTCCCTGTTTTTCCTTAGTTTCTGAAAGTTGATTTTAAATGTGAAGAATTGCTATGACTTGCTAGGGTATATCATGTTTCTCATCTTTCATCTTTGACCTGGGAGGGATGAAATCTGTAAATAGTACTTCTGGTACTGTTGTGCGAGTTGTTGTGAAATGATTATGCTGTATGGTAATTTGGATTTACTTCAGATCTTAGGACTTTAGAAATGAAAATTTCCATGAATGGATCGGATCACCTGCATTGCCCTCCAATCTAGCAGCCACTGTCACCTTGTCTGCCACCATATTCCTATAATTTATACATTGAATCACTGGGTCATAGTTTTTATCAGCATGTTACCCATAATTCCCAGTCTGGAAGGTTCGTTTCATGGCCTGCGGAGTCATTCTCTTCGCGTATATATTTTTCGCATGCCCTCCTCTCCCCGCAGCAGTTTGATCCTGACCCCAGATTCTGTATGGATAGCTGCGATGTCCTCTGCTCTAACATCTTCTATCCCACCTGGTGCAGTTGTGGCACTGTATGGAGAGCTGCATTTGAGCTGCCTGGAGACTAATTGCTTTGTGGACATTCCAAATGCAATCCCATACTCATCTCCAGAAACTGTGTAAAAATCTTCAATTTTAGTGTTTGTGCAGGAATCTGCACCGTCGTTCCACAAAATTAATTGGAAGTTGGAAGTTGTTCCTGCAAATTATTAGTCTCATGGACCCATCGGATGTAAAATATTCAGATTTTAACATGGTTGAACAATAACAAGCTGATCATAAATCAGGGAAAAACAAACCTGGACCTATGCCTTCACAGGAATATTACTATAATCCCACGGAGTATTACTGTAATCCCACGATTAATGAAAATCCCATGCGGACGTGATTATCATGTTTAATGTGTTATAGTTTGATCTCATGTTTACAATATTAAATATTTTATATTGTACTTAAACTAATCAAACAATTAATTTTAAATAAAATTATTTTATAATAGTTTATATGTCCACATTAAGTTGTTGGAGGGGCAATCCTTTAATATTATCATTAAACTTCATCAATTTGAATTTTTTTTATAAAAATAAAAATTTTCTAACAATGTATTTCTTATTTATCTTACTCAATGAAATATTTTTAATTGAAAACATTGTTTCTGTTTTAAAAAATTAGCAATTGTTAAAGCATGTTTTAAAAACATCCAAATAATATATCTATATTTAGCATGCTTGAAAGCTTAAAAACTTATAACGGTAATAAAATCATGTTAAACAATCGATTTCATTCAAATTTTCACAAAAAAATTATTATTAATATTATTATTTTTGTATCAAATATATAATAACTAAAAAATAATTATTATATTTCAAATAAAAATCTACAAAAAAATACACCGAATATCCTATAATTTACCCCATTTCATAATTTATCTCTATTGTTTTAAAAAATACATAAAAATAAAAAATTATGAACTTTATAAGCTGATGACACTTTACATGACACCATAAAAAAAAAAATTTACAAGTTTATAATTATATTTTATTTAATAACTAAAAAAATCTTTCTAGTATTAAAATCATAAAATTACCATAAATTTAGTAACTAAGGAGCTGATGGTGAGTGACACGTTCCATTTAAAAGTGGTGGCATGCTCGTTTGTTGGCATGTCATCAAAAGCTTATAATATTTATGTATTTATTTTTGTTGAAATTTTCCTGATAATAGTAAGAGTATCATCATTAAAGTTATGATGTACTCTACTATTTCAATCTTTCTTTATTATTTTTATTTTTTTATCTTATTATTTCATGTTATTTTTTTTTAAAAATTCAATTATTTTATTTTTTATATGAACTTTAGATCCCTATAAAACCTATAAAACATGCATAGACTTTCATATATTTAAATACTCAAGGAAGATTGATTCTGTATGATGCAAAAATCAAATTTATTTATCATATCATTAATAATATATATAAACTTTATATTTAAATCCTGAAGGAAAACAATTAGTGGTTCTTTCCTTGTTAGGTTTCCTTGTTAGGTTTGATATCTTTAAATTATGTTTGTTTTTATATTTTAAAAGTATTTTTGAAAAAAAAATTAAATTTTTTATTTTTTCTGTACTTAAAATTAATATTTTTAGATTATTTTGATACGTTAATATCAAATAATTTTTTAAAAATAAAAAATATTATTTTAATAAAAAATATTTTTAAAAATAACCACAAATAAAATTTAAATTAATTCTTTATCTCGGCTCCTGTCCTCTGGCACCGTACCACCACCCTGCTATTGCTAGCCAGCTTCACAGGTTAAAATATGAAATACAAAAGATAAGGCCCCCTTTACTTATCATATCATTAATAACATTTCTAGAATATAATATAATATACAACCATAATTGGTGCACCAAACTTCCAACTTCAAAGCTTAAAGATTGGCCAAAATAAATTAAAAAGTAAAATAAATATATATATATAAAAAAAAAACTAAAGCCACGCTTTTCATGCACGCACAAAACAATATTCATTCATAATTCATCCACCAGCACTGTTTAAAAAGCACATCTTTTTACACTTTAATCCTTATAGTTTTAAAAGTTCAAATCTTGGTTATAAAACTTTATTTTTCTTACATTTTAGTCTCTAATAATTGATAGAGCAAAAAAGAAAGAGGAAAGATGGAATTTTTGGGCAGTCATAAAAAACCATTGATTTTAGTATTAATATATTCATTTTGAAGAGAGAATTTCGAAATTTGATTTTTAATTTTAAAAAAGAAAGGTTTGAGCCTAAAAAAGAGATTGGAATTCACCAAAGCCTGTTTCGGTCTAATTTGATTTTGAATTTATTAACTAATTAAAGTATGTTATGGAGATTTTTATAATGTTTTTCAAAACGAAACAAATTGAGAGTTTCATTTCGAGGTAAAAAAATCAAATCTAGATGATGGATGAAAATTACTACAGGAGAGAGAACGTGCTTCCCCTACGTTTTTTTTATAAAAAGAAGAAGACACGTGCTCTCCCTCCGTTTTTTTTAAAAAAGAAGGCAGGTGCCCTGGCTTGCTCTTCAAAGTCAAGACGCATCTTGGACTTTTTCAAAGGACATGCACGTGGGTCTAGACTCTAGAGTTCTAAACCCAAGCGTGTCTCGCCAGTGACTTCTAGATTTGATCTTTTTTTAGTAATAATTATATATGAACGTAACATGTATTTTAGAAAAATAATTATGATAATTATTTTATTAAAATAAAATATCTATTTTATTTTTTTAATTGTTAGTTTCTATATGATTTTATCGAATTAATTTTTAAAATATTTCCATACAATCTTTCAAATTTTATTGAGTCATGAGTTTTTTTCACTACAACCTGTTTTTTAGATCATGGCATATTTTTATTTAAAAAACAATATATCAGATGAAAAAATGTTTTCATGAAGGTAAAAAGGAAATACATGAATAAAAAAGGAGTTGTGATCAAGGAGAGACATTTTTCTCTTTAATTTAAATAATTGTAAATTCTTATGAATATTTAATATAATTTGTTTTTGTTTTCATTATATATATATATATATATATATTGTTCAATTGTTTCCTTTTTTTAGTATCTATTTTAAATACCATAAAATTAAATAAAAATAAATTTTAAAAGAATCACGACGTGCTGACATGCTTACTGGTAGAAACAATTAAAAGAAAATGGTGTTTTACCATACACCATCCTCATCCTCATCTTATAAAGAGTAATTTATTATGGATTGAACTGTATATTTATTGTGCAACTTGAACTATTAGTAGGGCACGAAAAAAATATACTTTGTTCCTCGTCTTTTGTTTTTTATATTTGATCTGTGTAGTTTTAGCCTTTTGACATAAAACCTTTTTTTTATGTTTTAATTTCTAGATGTTGAAAAAAACATTAAAAAAGGGAGAAATACAAAGTTTAGCCAACCCCATTACGACATAAAAGGAGGGTTTGTCTTGAAAATTAAGAAGGGTTTGTCTTGAAAATTAAGAAGGGTTTGATGTAAATAATTTTGAGACTTTAATTGTGCTGGTGAAAATGATAAATTAAAATTTTTAAAGTTTATTTTAATTTAGTTTAGTTTTAAGTTTTTAATGTGATTAAAAGATATTTTGAAGTTTAAAATTGGGTTATGAAGGTTCAAATAAAGTTTTTAATATGCTTTTAAGAGAGAAACATGCTGAAATTTTGGGTTTGAGGGTCTATAATACTTGAAAAATCTAATATATATATATATATATATATATGAAAGAAATTCTCAAGCAAACGATTCTATTTGAGTTTTTTGAAAAAAAACCAGGTGTATCTCGGTTTCTTCTAATAGGCCAAACATGTTGGCCTAATTTTTAGACTCAATGACGCCTGATTTTTTTAAAAAGCCAGACTCATGGTTCAAACTTGATTCTTTTAGCTTTTCATATTTTTTTCTTTATCCAATTGTTTTATTTTTCATATATTTTGCAATGAAATTCTTCTAAAATAATAATATTATTAAAATGATATTTAAAGAATTATCCAGTTATGCTATATTTTTCAAATAAGTTTGTAACTTTTTATTGTAATATTAATATTTATTTTATGAATATTCTATATGAGTCTAATGTACATAATTGTTTACTTATTCATTTTTTAATATTTAACTAGAGTAAAATACTAAAATATCAATTTTGTTATTTTTATTATAAATTTTTATATAATTTTCTCAAATTATATATATATATATATATATTTATATATATATATAGAGGCACATAAAAATTGTAAGGCCATGTTTTTTTGTTTTTTTTTATTAAAATTCTTTTTTAAAGATCATTATATATATATATATATATATAGAGGCACATAAAAATTGTAAGGCCATGTTTTTTTGTTCTTTTTTTATTAAAATTCTTTTTTAAAGATCATAATAATTTATAAAGTTTTTTAGATTTTTTTATGAATAATAAGTTATGCCTTTAATTTTTAAAGTGGTTGTCTATTAGATAGAAAAACTACGTAAGTTACATAATAAAGAATTAGAACTCTAGACATAACAATCTTTCTCTTCTAATAAAGTTTTAAGAGATTTCAAATGTTCGTGTATATTACTGTTAGAAGCTAAATAATTAGACGATTTATGATTTGCGATAACTCAACTTTTCAAGAATTATTTAAAGATGAAAAAAATATC